GGTACCAGCAGTTCTTAAAAAAAGCCTTATTCTTACAAATGCAGTTCCTTCGGAACGACATCAGCGAGATACTAACACTACGTCTTAGAAATGCGGTAAAAGGAGCATTCCCTCCTGTTGAATTACGCTGTGTCTTCAAAACCACTCCTCTTCTGCGTTTGGGAATAAAAGACAAACTGCCTAATTTCGCCTTTTCCATGTGTATATACCAATTTAACTGCTCCTGTGGAGCCAGTTACATAGGCCGTACAATTAGGCGTGTTTCTCGTCGGATTTCCAAAAATCACCCTGCGTGGTTACGTAGAGTACAAACAAAATCTATTCACAGCGTTATTCTATGTCATCTTGTGGATGCAGAACACAAGATCGACGTTAACCATGCTTTCAGGGTCATTTACCGCATACCAACGAACCTTAATTTCCCCTTAAGAGTTCGACTATTAAATATTGCTGAAGCTGTTAGGATCCATATTAACAAGCCTAATTTTTGCATCCAAAAAAGTTAGTTCAGACATTATCATTACCTTGGTCATCCAGGTTTGAATGATCCCCAGTTTTTTGCGGAAATTTCCCTAATTTCAGTTGATATTCTATTCGACATTATATTTGTATTATAATTTAAGCGTCTTTAATGAACTGTAATTCCATTGTGATCTTACTTAACAAATCGATATTATTTAAAAAAACTACTAATATTGTTATTGACGAGACTATTCTAGGATATTCTATGTATGTAAACATGCATATATATAATTGTAGAGCCAGAAGAGGAATTTATCGAAAAGGAATATTCTTTGCTCAACTATTTTGTGTTTTATAGATGTCTGAATGAATATTTTTGCTATATTGAAGCCATCTCCATCAAGCGCCTGAAACCTAGTTTATGCGTTCAGAAAGAAACAGTTATCAGTCTTTCCTTCTCTGCCTGGTAACTGGATATTTTCACCTCTCTTTTATCTGAATGCGTAATACCGACATTTTCCATTGTGTATGATCATTATTGTTTGGTATAGTGTTTAATATTATATATATATATATATATATACATTACTGTATGCATATATTGACTGATTGATTTTTGTTTCAAATGAACTCTGTGCAAGTATGTTAAAAATTGTTTCTGTGGATATACTACTTAATAATGACTTTTGCCTGTAAGCTGGTGAGCTGATGAGAAGCCAACGAAATAAACGATCATGGTACCACTTTATTCTGCAAAAAACTGTAGTTCTCGCTTTATTCAAATTCATTAAGGGGAATAAATGTATGAAAGATCAGAAATTAGACTACTATTCGGATTTTCAAAACCACTAATATCAAGTCAATCAGTGCTTCAGTATGGTTGAGAGATTTGACGTTTCTCGGGAAGCATTTCAGATAGCCTACCTTCGCTAGCTGCATACTGAACATCAGATGGCTGACGAGAAGGAACTCTGATAAGCGACGAACCAACCAACAACCATTTGCCCAAGAAATATAACGAAGAAAATGGCAATAGATCTGTAGCACGCTGTTTAGACTGCTGACTGACATCACGTCGGCAAGGGGAGGGGGGGCCTTGAGTTTAACCCGAGTGAGAAACAACAATTTGGGTCAGAGGATGACATGCGGTGGATTGTGTGAAGCAAAGATGGAAGCTTATAGGAAATCGTGGAACCAGTTTAAAAAAGACTGTGCAAAACAGGATGAAATGGAGATGTGCTGATGAAGCCCCGTGTTCCAGGAGAATAATAATTATTACTAAGTGTTTAAGAAGTTTAGTCGTCTAATTTCTTTCTCCAGCTTCCCCCGTTGTAGATTCATTAGCCCCCCCCCCTGTATTGACACTTCGGCTGATATTTTAATAAAAAAATATCCATACCTGATGTAAGTGAGAACAGAAGTATGTAACTAGTGAACGGTCGCGGATAAATGGATGTTTCGCTCTCATTCATAAATCATACGCATAATTCGTCGTGATATCAGTCCGTGATCGAACTTGAAACCAGTCGAATCTCTGTGAACGGACACCTGAAGATTACTCGAGTGCTCACGAGTGACTGACTAGTCGGAATTCGTAACCAGGGGGACCATCAATTGAAGCAAGAGAACAATTACTCGCCAATGACATTGGCTACCGGTTGTGATAATACTGCAAATTGACAGAAGTTGGAATTCACGAACCACTGAGTTCCGTCCCAGTGGCTAAATGGTCTATAAGGCAACCTTGTAATTGGAAGGTCCTAGGTTCGAACCCCGGTGGTTGCAGACGACTGAAGAGTCTCAAATTGCGACGAAACAGCTGTCCAGCACACCCTAGTTAACAATGGCTCTTCTCTAATTGATATCAATCCATGACCAAACATGAAAACAATTGAATCTCTAAAATCTAACGTTTGAGAATGCTCAATCGCTTGTGTAATGAGTCATGGAATGATTCGAAAGAGTGGTCTTCAAATTACTAGTCTGATGCTTATCTAGCTTCAAATTGAAGTGTATGCGTTGAAGATGTTGCCACCTAGTAGGGGGGCAATGAAAGCTTTGCAGATTAACTATCCAGCTCGGAGAACACAACCACCACACCGAAAACAACACTTTGTCAAGGCGCATCTCTTGGTGCCCATAACCTACTAATTTTTTACTTTAATGATAATAATAATAATAACTACGATAGCCAGAGACCCCATCCCGGAAAATCATCCATGCTATCTATCACATAGTAGGAACTTCTTTGTGATAATGATTCGGATAGGAATACAATAATAATAACTGAATTCAATGAAGTACATTCGTCGCTATGAAATTCACGTGTGAAGAGAGGAATCCCAAAAAATAAGATTAATTGCCTTCCTAGATGTCCTCCTTACAAGAAAACCAGATGGTAGTCGAAAGAGAAATTTGCATAGGAAAAGCAAATAGACACGACAATACACACAATTTCATAGCTTCGTTCCTCTCCAGGACAAAACAAATTTACTAAGGACACTTAGCCACAGGGTTAGAGCTATATGCTCAGAAGAGATAATTGAAGATGAACCAAGGATTGTATATGACACCCTAATTGAAAATAGCTATCCAGAAAAGTTCATCAAGAAACACATGACCAAGAAAGCAGGAAAGGACTATTCTCCATCTGTAAATAAGAAGCTTTTATATATACAACTGCAGCTCAAGAGTGAAGTGCCGAGTGAAATAATTACTAACAATTCCATTATAGATAAGATTTTATTTTGATAAATCACACAGTGTTATACAGTAATAGTAACTGATGACGTTTCGAGCACAATTTACTGCTGCTCATAATCATATCAAGTCACTCAGACAACTTTTTACTTCATTTATATACATGAGTGACAGTTAAGTCATATTTTCTACACGACCAATGGTGATCGCCTAATTGAAAGGTGAAGTACCTAGACTAAACTAGCCACTTCTAATTGTATGTATCAATTCAACTGCGCTTGTTATGGAGCGGGTTGTATTGGCTGTTGCTCTAGGACCTTGATTTTTCGTGCTCACTCAGGAACACCTACCAGTGTGTTTAGACAAACGTGCAGTGAGAAGCATCAATAGCTCAATATTAGAACAACTGGTCCAAACCGGCCACAAAACCAGCTAGAACTGAAGAATCCTTCTCCATCATCATCATCATCACCTATCGGGCACCAAACAAATAGCCAAAAACATCCAAGTAACGCATACTCCAAACAGCAGAGGCTATCGCGATTCACCTGAAACAACCGGTGCTCTCTGTGTGTGCAGAAGAAATAGCTCCAGCCAGCCAATACTACTGCCCTGGCCGGCCTTCAATGGAGGCTATAAATTCATGAATTTGTATTATTATCTTTCCTAATTTGTCTGATATTCAGTGTAGCGTAGTGTTATGTTGATGCTATCCAACTGTAATCCATTGATATTACTATTATTGATTCTATCTCAACTTCATCGACTTTGAAAAGGCCTTTGACAGTGTCGACCGAGAGGTGCTTTGGAAACTACTTCGCTACTACAGGGTGCCACCCACAATTATACATTTCGTCCAACAGCTGTACGACAATGCTGCATGCCAAGTAATCCACAACGGGAAACTTACGGAATACTTCGAAGTGAGGACAGGAGTAAGACAAGGCTGCCAACTATCGCCAATGATTTTCCTGATTGCAGTAGATTGGATAATGTGACAAACAGCGGGCAATGAGGAAACAGGTATAAAATGGACTCACACGAAAAAGAACTTGGAGGATCTGAACTTCGCCGATGATATATGTCTGATTTCACACAAACTGGAAGACATGCAAGTGAAAAGCAACAAGTTGGCAGAAGAAGCAACAACAACAACAGACAACAATCAGCATAAAAGGGAGGAACCTGAAAGAAACAACCTCTTTTACCAAACTATCTGGGAAGCATCGTTTCAACTACACGCCGACGGAACTGACGAGGATATCAAAGTAAGAATCGGAAAAGCAAGACAAGCTTTCACTACTCTCAAGTCTGTGTGGAGGTCAACAGCATTCAGCATCAAAAATAAGATCCGGATTTTCAACTCCAATGTGAAGTCAGTCAGTGCTACTATACCGATCAGAGACTTGGCGCGTCACGAATGGGGCACTTCGAACAAACTACAGACTTTCAACAGCAGCTGTCTTCTCTCAATACTACTCAAGATCAGATGGCCGGCTAGTAAACATCAGCAACAGAGATCTCTGCGAGCGAACCAACACAGCAGGAACCGATTGTGAAACAAAATGGTCAGGAAGAAATGGAGGTGGATTGGTCATACTCGAGTGGAACCGGAAAGGGAAGCGGCGAGTTGGTCGTTAGTGCAAGGGTGACTTGGAGGAGGTCATGTGAAGAGGAGATGAAAACGTGTGGGCAGACTTGGAGCCAGGTGAAGACTCTAGTAGAGAACCGAACGCAATGGAAACGCACGGCTGAAGCCCTATGTTCCTCTAGGAATTAAAGGAAACAACAATAATAATAATAAATAATAACTGTAGAACCTGATGAAGAAGAGCAGGTTATCGAAAACGTGAATATTCTTTATTCAGAAAACATTCTTTTGAAAAAAAAGAGCAATATTAATAGACATTTTGTTAATCAGTTAAAAGTAATAAGAACCATTTTTACAATACTTGTTTTTTTTTGCTTCTAAGATAATAAAAACGCATTTCTCTCTTCTAAACTTGAGCAAAAATACAACAACAAAAAACGCAAAAGGGTAGGATTCACTGAGAAGAAAGAGAAGAAACAGAGCATCTCAGCAGCACCAAGAATACCAACAAAACCAACACAAACACAAACACTCAGGAGAGAAAAAAACTGAGATAACAGTTGGAATTGATTGAGTAATTAGTCAACCGTTGAGTTAGTTCTGTGACCGACTGGTTGATTGGCTGGCTGACTGGCTGGCTAGTTAACTCATTAACAAATCATTTGAGAAGATGAACCAAAGTGAGACATTAGAAGAGGTAGAAGAAACTCATTTATCTTTACACAAACACATGAAATCAACAGACACTCTCACACACACAAACATACAAATAAGAAACAGAGGGACAAACTTTACATCAAATCAATAATTGTATGAAAATATATATATATATATAAGAATCATAGTATGAAACGATCAAATTCACTTGAAAGTGATTTTGCACGCCGCTGCAGTCTCTTCGCGTTTTTGGTCACGCTAAAATTATCACCATTGTGTTTTGAAGTGGTGATGATGATGACGATGAGTGGGAACAGGAGGAGGAGAAGGAGGAGACGGAATGCCTTATGAAGATTGACGAATTATGCTTGACAACTGTGACCACCATTTGTAGAGAAAGACAACAACAACAAAACAACAAAAAAGCAGCTCGGGAACCCTGTTTTGTAAACTAAGTGCTAAAAAAAGAAAAAAGTAGCGGGGAAGGGAAGAAAAAACACAAAGATAAGGCATTTGTTAAAATTGGAACAAGATAAAATGAAAATGGAATGTTAATCAATCTAATGGTTTTGAGTGTGTGTGCGTGCATGGTTTTGACAAGAATCGGTTTAAAACACTAATCATCTTGTGATTCATCATATTGTAACGACAGAAGACAAGGCCAGCCAGGCAACAGATTCTTTACTGAAAAAATCAACGGATATTTATAGATTTTTATGTACATTATTATTCGTTATTATTAGCAGAAAAGCAACGTCTTCTGATTGGTTGTTTTCTCGCTGAAGGTTATTCTGTACTGTTTGTGACCGTTTCTTAGAAAGTTAAGCCATATATCCACGAATCATATTTCCACACGTTAATTCTGCTGTGATTGGTTGGTGAGTTCCTCAAGGTTAGGCTTTGTTATTGTTTTTTCTCACGACCCCGATTTGGGACGTAAATGGTTGTCTACAATTTTGACTTGCAGACAGCTGTCACCATAATATGACTCACCTTATGATCGGGTGATGTTGACCGCCTGCAAAATTTCATTATTGATATTAGATGGTTGGAGGCAATCGGTAGGGAGCTCGAATAACTCAGTGGTAACATCTCTGACCGCAGCTAGCACTGGGTGATGCGGATTCGAATCTCAGAGGGGTGGGACATGAATTCCTTCAAAGTTACAGATACGCCTTGTGGAATGGTGAGTTCCAACCAGTACGAAACATAGGTTCAAGGTTTCCTGCTGATTGCCTTCAACCATCTAATATCAACAATTCAAAGTGCACCGTGATGGTGAGTCACCTAGAATGGTGGCCACAGCTAACACATCGCCCGCTGTTGAGGAAGGCGGTGGCTGAGCATGCGTAACACATTTTCTAAGCACCTCAACCGATGTAACTTTACAACGTCATCGATTGATTTCCCCTCCATCCTTACCTAGCCTACCACTCGATCGATGTCTAACCTCAACATTGCTTACCTTATTATACCAGTTAACACGCACAGGAGATAGATCGAAGACACCTATGGTCAAAGACAGCTAGTCGGCATTTTCATATCTTCCACTTTATATGACCATGTCTCACTCACAGCCAGCCATAAAGGAGGACAGAGAGAACTGTTGGGCAGTACACAGGTCCTTTGATCGATAGCCAACAGGATATCACGTCTACTCGGCCAAAGGTGGTGTAAGTTGACGTATACCCGACAAGCCTTCTGTACACGTGTTGAGATGTCGTCAGTGATCAACCCGTTGGCACTGGCCGATACAACTCCCCCAAAAAGTGAAGTGGTCGACAAGCTGTTTGAGCCAATTCACTCCCTATCTTTAAACTAAGAGTCGGTGTATTCCAGTCCAGTCCTGTTGCATCATCTTTCACTTGACGCGAATTGCTGGAGACTACCGGAGGTATAACTCAAAGTTGTTGTCAATGGCGGAGATGTATTCACTCTTTGTGACCTCCAAGATCAACTGAACCGTCATGCATTTTCATCTTACTACCCTTTCTCCTTTACATTTCTGCTCATTACAATACTTTTCAATCTCTTTTTACTCTCCGTTTAGTCTACTTTTGTGTATTACACAGAGTGCGACAACTTCAACTGCTACACCTCAGTGTAACCTAGCCATTGAGAGTGGAAGACATGAAAAGGCCGGCTAGTTGTTTTTGATCAGAGGTGTCTGCATTCTATCTAGATCACATATTAGGTGTAATAGGGTGAGATATTGAAGTGAGGCTAGGTAAAGAGGGTGGGGAAGTTAACAGACAAGACTGTGACGTTACATAGACTGAGATGGTTAGGAATGTGTTACACATGCATCCCTAGCTATTGCCCACCTCGACAATAGGTAATGTTAGCTGCTGACATAGGATCAGGCTGGAAAGGAACCAGCGGTGGTCAAAGGGAAACATGGCTTCATCAGTCAATGAAATCCAGAACAGTTAGTTTAAGCCAGTCACGTAGGAAGGTGCAAAACTTCCTAGTTGGGATCCTCAGGACAGTAAAACCAATGAAGACTGGAGAAGATCGGTGATATGGCTGGCTCAAAATCGTTCTCAATGGCTGGCGCAGATGCATCCACTCCTTGTGACTTATAATATCCAATAAAACTATATGGTCCCTCCATATAACTATTCTTTTTGCCTCATATCTCTGTTTACTGTCTCGGTTTTGCATTTCTTTTTACTTTCTTCTCTGGCTTTGTGTGCTGAGTGAAGTGTGGCTACTCGAAATGCTGCACATCGGTGCAAAGTTCTATGTTGAAACCAGTCGATCAGTCAGTCACACTTCAGTGCAGCCTAGTGATAATTCAGCGAGTTTGATCACTCATGAACTGACTAACTTCATATTCAAGTGTTGGTTTGCAGGGATTTGATTGATTTCTTTCAGGATTTCATCATAAACTGACATTGGTTAGAGAACCATTGGAAAACCAGCTGGGAGTACTGGACAGCCAGCTGTTTCGTCAGTCTAGTTTGGAACTGTGCTTCAGCAGTACACACATCCACTGCCAGGGTTCGAACCCACGGCCTTCGGGTTACAAGGCGAACTCGCAGACCAATAAGCCACTGGGACCCAATCCAATGATCAGCCCATGAATTCCAACTTCCGCCAATTCATGACAAGGCGCGACCGCTACCGAGTATTTGTCCTCACATCCGACCTGCTGTACCCCACTGGTCACAACTTGAACCCCTGAATAGGACCAGTTAATGAACCATTGAAAACCAATATAAAGTAGTACTGAACAGCTATTTCGTCCTGGTTTTCAGACTCTCCAACAGTGGCGGCCACTGAAAACTCAGTCACAGTAGCTGAACTGCAGAAGTTAGAATTCACGGGTTACATAAGCTTGTCTTGTAACTAAATGGAAGGTTTTGAGGTCCTACCCCAGAAGAGTCCCAAACCAGGACGAAACAGCTTCATCCAATACTGTGTCTCTTCTCGGTCTGCAATAGCTCTTCTTCTCTAACTTATGTCATCAACTTGATGTGATCAAACTTAAAAAATATCAAACAAATCTGACTACAAACTAAGCAATTCCATATTAGTTTGTTTATTAGATGTATCACAATGTGAGTGGAACAGTATTATTTACTGGATGACAAAGTTTCGAACAAAATTTACTGTTCATAATCCTGCCATCAATTATAATCACACGACTTGGAAACTTGAGTTTTATAGTTTTCTTTGTCCAATCCTACTTGTCGTACGGGTAGTAGAATTTTCCAGATATCTGGGACAGGTGTTGAATCATTCCTATTACACGTGCTTGCAGTTGATTCGATAAACAAAGCTTCTGTTATCAATCTCTCCCTCCACCCTGTAACATTAGATTTAAAACTGTCATTCTATCCCATCCTATTGTATGATTGTGTGTAATTGCATGTGGTGTAGTGCTATAGCTGAACTATTCTCTAGATTTCTTATCTTATTCGGGTCAACCAATCTAGATTTTGCTGCAAGGTTTTTATGTTCGGCTAGTCTGACTGCACCTGTTCTACTACTTTGACCTATGTATTTGACCTCACTGACAATCATTGCAGGGTATTAGATAAACTAAATTGTTTTGTTTTAAAGGCTCCACAGGATCCTTTAACCGACAAAGCTTGTTTCTAATTGAGTTTGTGGATTTGAATGCCACTTTTATTCCTGCCTTGTTAAGAATTCTGCGTGAGGTGGTTTCCGAGGTTCCTTCCTTGTATGGAATTACTACTGATGATTTAGATTCCTTATTGTTGGTGTCGTCATTAATCTAAAATCTAATGTCACAGGGTGGGCGGAGGGAGAGATTGATAACGGAAGCTTTGTTTATCAAATCAACTGCAAACACGTGTAATAGGAATGATTCATCACCTGTCCAGACAGATATATTCATGGATAGGTGGGAAAACAGCGATTGAAACGTTCAGCCCCACCTCGAAAGTATGGTGGAGATATGTAGATGACACATTCACTGTACTTAGAACACAGGATATAGATAGATTTTTCGAACAGATCAACTCAAAGGTGGAGGCAGTTCAATTCACTTATGAATTGGAAAGTCAGGAAGGGGAGCTTCCAATGTTAGATTGCAGCGTAAAAAGGAAAGAAGATGGGAAGTTAAACACTAGTGTTTACAGGAAACCCACACATTCAGACAGATATTTGGACTTCCAATCATCCCATCCTATGTCAGTAAAAATAGGATTGGTGAAATGTTTAAGTGACAGAGTACAAAAACTAAGTAGTACCAAGGAAAATCTAAGACAGGATGTGAGGCATATAAGAGAAGATTTGAAACTTGAAAATTACCCTGGTAAATTAGTCAGAAAGTATGTAGGGAAATGTAAAAATAATATAATAAATAATGATCGTAGTGATAGTGATAATAATAATATTAATGACGACATGCATGTCAAACATGCAAAGGGTAATGACAACACCAAAAATAAGGAATCCAAATCATCAGTAGTAATTCCATACAAGGAAGGAACCTCGGAAACCACCTCACGCAGGATTCTTAACAAGGAAGGAATAAAAAGTGGCTGGCATTCAAACCCACAAACTCAATTAGAAACAAGCTTTGTCGGTTAAAGGATCCTGTAGAGCCTTTAAAACAAAACAATTTAGTTTATCTAATACCCTACTGGAATGATTGTCAGGTCAAATACATAGGTCAAAGTAGTAGAACAGGGGCAGTCAGACTAGCCGAACATAAAAACCTAGCAAAATCTAGATTGGTTGACCCGTAATAAGATAAGAAATCTAGAGAATAGTTCAGCTATAGCACTACACCACATGCAATTACACACAACCATACAATAGGATGGGATGGGATAAAATGACAGTTTTAAAATCTAATATAACAACAGGGTGGAGATAGGGACTAATTACGGAAGCTTTGTTTATCGAATCAACTGAGGAGAATGCGTGTAATAGGAATGATTCAACACCTGTCCACGTGGATATCTGGAAGATTTTATAGCCCCTACGACGACAAATAGGAGAGAACAAAGAAAACTATGAAACTCAAGTTTCGAAGTCGTGTGGTTATAATTGATGAAATGATTATGAACAGTGATGAATTTTGTTCGAAACCTTGTCATCCAGTAAATAATAATACTGTTTCACTCACTGTGTGTGACACATCTAATAAACAAACTAATATGGAATTACTCACTACCACAGTGCCCAAGTTTTACACAAATATATTAATTAATACAAACTAAGCAGGTGTGAAAACACTTCGTAAACAATACAAATAACTTCTACTACTTACATATGATGTATATATATACTACTAATAAATACAAGAAAATACAGTAGAATTCAATTCAATTCAATTTATATGAATTGAATAAAGATCCTGCAATATTATTAATATTATCACGTGAATCAACTAGACGTCGTTTCACTCGAGACAGATCCGGTGAGGATAGATTACAATTCATTGACATTGACAACATTTTATAGCTGATCACCTGGAGAAATATAGAAAAACACAAAAACAACAGAAAAAGGTCTCTGAAACAAACTATTTATATATATATATATACATAAGTGGCATATGCTACTAACAAGACTTATCAGTAATATATGCAAAGAGTCATTCATCGGAACAACATATTATCAAATAGAAGAGAGATAGACTTGACGTCAAAGAGTGGAAATGAATCAGTGTATTGCGGGGGAAACATGGGAGACACGAAAAGAAGACAAAAGAAGAAACACGCGTGTATACGCACACACACACAATCCGAAGGAAGGGCAGAAGCAGTAAATGACGATTTTCATTGAAAAGGCGTACATAATTTCCTTATATACAGGAAACATGACAGAGAAAGTGGAAAAGGACTACTCACTATCGGTAAACACATTCTCCTCTCCTCTATTAGCTTCCAAGTGTCCGCTGAGAGCCATTCCTTCCTAAAACCGTTGAACACGTTTCGTTGAAAATTTCCTTCAGAGAGTTCCAATGATCTTCCACGGATGATTCCTCAGTGGTGCCACGTAGTGTTTCCTGCTTTGCTCTGACAGTTGCAGTAAAAATGTCCTGTGTGATTGTGTCCTTCAGTTTTTGAGTGTTGAACTTGCATTGTGGCTTATCCCCAGCTATCCTCGAGGCTTTCAGCTTCACCTTGAAAGTCCCTTGTACTAGATAGTGGTCTGAACCCACATCTGCTCCTCACCTCGATCTTGTGTCCAGTAAGCTCCGTCTCCACTTCCTTGAGATTGAAATGAAGTCTATCTGGTTTTTGGTGTGTTCATCTGGTGAAATCCATGTTGCCTTGTGTATATCCCTGTGTTTGAACACACTGCCACCAATCACTAAATCATTGAAGGCGCAGAAGTCTGAGAAGAGTTCACCATTTTCGTTCATTTCACCGAGGGCCTCACGACCCATGGCGAGTTCTCTTCCTGTATTGTCTCCTCCCAGTTTCGCATTCATATCACCCATCAGGATTTTGATATCGCTCTTTGGGACGTTGTCCATTACTGTTTGTAGTTGACTGTAGAAATCCTCCTTCTTCTCTTGTTCTGAGACGTTTGTAGGCGCATAGCACTGAATGATTGTAACCTTCCTTCCTTTTGAGTTGAACCTGGCTGTCATTATCCTGGAGGAGATTGGTTCCCACTGCATGAGAGCTTTAGCCGCTGTTGGTGACATCATGATGGGTACTCCCTCGGTGTGCTCGTGATTGTCCTCTGGGTGACCGGAGTAGATTATTGTCTCTTCAGTTGATAGTTGGCTCCTTCCATATCCGTTCCATCTGCTCTCGCAGATTCCCAACACTTCTATTTTATATCTCCTCATTTCTGCGGCTACCTGAGCAGCCTTTCCAGTTTCGTACATTGTACGAACATTCCACGTCCCCATCCTTATTTTTGCTTTCATCGAAAGAAGGCACACCGGCTGACTGGCTTCCCGAAGGCTTTCACCAGCCTGCGTCATTTCACTTCCCCTATTCCAGCGAGAAATAAGGTTATTGTTTGTATTTTTAGAATTTTTAATATATTTGTGCGTTGAAGTTTTAGTAGCAATTTGGTTAAGTTTTGGGGGTGTAGCTGCTAGCACCACGCCCCAACCCTCCCTCTTAATCCGGGCTTGGGACCGGCTACAATAATTACTGAATTCAATGAAGTACATTCGGCTATGAAATTCACATGCGAAGAGGAAACCCAAGACAGAATTGCCTTCCTGGATGTCCTACTGACAAGAAAACCAGACGGTAGCATAAAAAGAAATTTGCATAGAAAAAGTACTTGGACGGGACAATATACACACTTTCATACCTTCGTTCCTATCAATTACAAAAGAAATTTATTGAAGACCCCCAACCACAGAGTTAGAGCTATATCCTCTGAAGAAGTAATTAAAGATGAATTAAGCATTGTATATGATACTTTAGTCGAAAATGGTTATCCTGACAAATTTATCAAGAAACACATGACAAAGAAAGAGGAAAAGGACTACTCACTGTCTGTAAACAAGAAGCCTTTATGTATACGACTACAATTCATGGGCGATATACCAAGCGAGATAATTGCGAAGAAATTAAGAAAATCAGTTCAAAGAACTTTTAATGCTGGCGAACTACACATCTTATTCTCTACACGACCGATGGTGCTACCTCGACTGAAAGATGAAGTACCTAGACTAGCTACTTCAAATTGTATCTATCCATTCAACTGCGCTTGTGGAGCGAGTTATATTGGCCATTGCTTTAGGAACTTGATTTTTCGTGCTCAAGAACATATCCCACTATGGCTAAATAAAGGTGTAGTGAAAACCATTAACATTAACACCATCTGGTTCAAACTGACCACAAAGCCAGCGTGGAAGAATCCTTTTCTATGATCTACCGGGCGCCTAATAAATTGCTAAAATCATCGAAGCACCGCATGCTCGAAACATCAGAGGCTATTGCAATTCGCCTCAAACAACCAGTGCTCTGTGTTCGAAAGAAGCAAGTCCAGCCAGCCCCTTCTACTGCCATGACCGGCCTTCAGTAGAGACCATAAATTCATCAATTTGTAATATTATCTTTCCTAATTTCTCTGACATTCAGCTTATTTTATGTTGATGCTATTGAGCTGTAATCTATCAACATTAATGATTCAATGTTATTAACACAGCATTAATGCTGTGAATAACACTAATTCATTCATTCACTATAATGTGTAGATATAACCGTAGAGCCTGATGATGAAGTTATCGAAAAGTTTTCTTTAATTGATGGATGGTGACTATCAGTGGAATCCAGCGTTGATGCGCATTTCGTCCTATTTGGGACTCGTCGCCTGGATTCCACTGCTAGTCACCATCCACCACCGTCAACAGTGAGCACAGAACAGGCAGTGGAGGCATCAATCCTCCTTCCAACAAAGGCAAAAGTCTTGAATACAATCATCAAGCTAGTCGGTCGGTCAGTCAGTTTTCGACATAGAACTTTGCACATATGTGCGGCAGTTCAAGTCACCACACTCCATGTAGCACACAAAGCAAGAGAAGAAAGTAGGAGAAATGCATAATATAGACAGTAAACAGAGGTGTGAGACAAAGGAATAGCAATAACGGAGAACAAAACAGTTTAATTGGAAATCATAAGTCACAAGGAGTGGATGCATCTGCACCAGCCATTGAGAACGATGACTTTGAGCCACGTCACCAATCGTTTCCGATCACTGGTTTTTACCGTCCCGAGGACCCCAACCAGTCAGGAAGTCTACACCTTCCTACGTGGCTCAGACTGACTGTTTTGGATTTCATTGACTGGTGCCATGTTTTCGTTTGACCGCCGCTAGCTCTTTTCCAGCCTGGCCCTATATCAGCTAAAATTGCCCATTGTCGAGGAAGGCGATGACTAGGCATACGTAACACATGTCCCAGCCGTCTTAGTCGATGTAATTTCACAGTCTCGTCGACTGATTTCCCCTCCTTCCTTACCTAGCACTCGACGCCTAACCTCAATATTGCTCACCTTATTATACCACTTCACACGGGAGATAGAAGGCAGACACCTATGATCGAACTCAGCTAATCTTTTCATGTCTTCCACTCTCAATGGCCACGTCTCACAGCCATAAAGGAGGACGGAGCGGCCCTTTGGTCGATAGTCGGATATCACGTCTACGCCAGAGACGGCGCAAACTGGCATATGCGCAAGCTAGTGAAAGCCAATCGGATGGGATTCCTTTTGAATCAGTGATAACTGATCCACAGACACGCGTCGTATCTACACGTGTCTGAATGACTTCGAGATCTGGAGAGCTGGCAGAGCTATTCATCTCAATCGGTCAATCAATCACTGTGTAGTATAAAGTTTTACGTATTTATATCCTTGTCTTTCTTGGCGATTAATTATGATATGAAACAGAGCATCATATATATTCTGATCTCAATAATTTCAGTTTCCAGAAGAAACTGTGTGATGAAGTTTCACCTTCTCGAACTTTGTGTGTAAATTGCAAATTCGGATTTTGGAATTACCAGTTTCAAATACAGGAGGAACGGACGAGGATGTCAAATCGAGAATCGGGAAGGCGAGAAACACATTTATCAACCTGAAACCAATCTGGAAATCTTCGTCACTCAGCATCAACAACAAAATTTGGATTTTCAATACAAACGTCAAGTCAGTCAGTTCTTCTATACGGATCAAAAACTTCGCGGCGGGTCACAAAGAATATTTCCAACAGCCTGTTGCAGACCTTTATCAACAACTGTCTTCGCTCTATACTGAAGATCAGATGGCCGCCGGAAAGAATCACCAACAAGGAACTATGGGAAGAAACAAAACAAGAACCAATCGCCCAACAAATATGCAGGAGAAAGTGGAGATGGATTGGACACTCGCTGAGGAGGCCGTTGGGTGACATCGCGTGTCAGGCCAATGCTCGAGTGGAACCCGAAAGGGAAGTGGCGAGTGGGACGTCTAAGGGTGACATGGAGGAGATCATGTGAAGAGGAGCTGAAACAGCATGGACTGACATGGATGCAGGTGAAAAGTACAGCAGAAGACAGAAGCAAGTGGAGACGTGCAGTTGAAACCCTATGTTCCACTAGGAACCCAAGGGAACAATAATAATAATAATAGTTTGCCCAACTGCCTAACCAGAAACTGGATGGTTTGAAATGATTTTTTTTACTCAGAGCAGAGTCAGTCATGTGTAGGTGGCACACACTGGTGATGAGTTCAACCCTGAAACGACTGAACGAACAGCCAACAAAAACAGGTGTTTATTTCACTTCAATCTGGACAGCTGGACGAAGAGTACTACCTGCTTGGTGTGAACTGTTTTCCAAGTATACTCATTCCCCCCCCCCATCGCGCACAGGAAGCAGCAGTCGAAATGAAACACAGTGTAAAGGATAATTCTGGATTTGTTGAAAGGATAAACGATTTAAATGTTGACAATAAATTCATGATATCATTTGACGTATCTTCCTTATTCACCAATGCGTACCACTTATGGAAACAGTGGATTTTGCATGCGAAGAACTCATAAGACGACGAAACATCGATGTTGGCATTCCTATATCTTTCATGAAAGTGCTTCTCTTGAAATGCACAATGGATGTCCACTTTTTATTTAATAAGGAACCATAACCATACATAGACAAATCAACGGTGTGGCAATGGGGTCACCACTAGGACCCATTAAACTGACATTTTCCTTGCGAACTTGAATTCTATTGTCGGTATACATGGATGATACATTTTTGATTATAAAAAATGAGTAGGAAGCAAAGAACATCCTTGTTGACAAATTTAACGATGTTCATCCTGCAATAAATTTTGCCATCGAGAAAGAAAAAGGCTCGAGTATTTCATTTCTAGACGTCCTTATGACCAGAAAAGAGGAGGGCACAATAAGAAGAAGTGTATATAGAAAACCTACATCAACTGACTCTCAGTATACTCATTCTTTTAGCTCAGTGCCCTTGAAATACGAACGCAATCTGATAAAGTGCTTGGTCCGCCACAGAGCAAGAGCAATCTGCTCGGATGAATGTCTTGATGAGGAACTTGATAATATTAAACGGTTGCTGAGGGAAAATGATAAGAATATGAATCTAAAATCAAAGCAGCCCAAGGTACCAACAGTTCAAAAAAGGCCTTCTTCTTACAAATGCAGTTCCTTGGGGACAACATCAGTGAGATACTACCACAGAGCCTTAGAAATGCGGTAGACAGAGCATTCACTTAACAGCACTAAATTCTCCTTTTACAGCCGCATTGCTAAGGTGTTGTGTTAATATCTCACAGATGTTATCCCCCGAAGAACTGAAGTTGTAAGAAAAAAGGCCTTCTTTTTGCGGAACAGTTGGTACTTTGGCCTGTCTCACCTCGATGTTTGATTCATATTCTTATCGATGAATCTTTTTCTGGATAACTGGCGTTCTTACTCAGCAAAAAAGAAATGTGATAATCGCTTCCATTGGGAATATTTTAACAAATTCAACAAATATCTCAGAAGTTGACCTAATTAATTCTCTGCTCTCAAAAAACTTCCCTACTTGAATCGACAATTCAATGGCGACTCATCGGTAGAAATACTGAGAAGCCACCTATTCCGCTCACTGGAAAAAAACCTTTTTTTCAGCTACGCTTCGACTAACTTTCTCTACGAAACCAATGATTCGCATGAACACCGTGAAGGATAATAAGCTACCACTGTTGGCTAGCCTCATCAATGAGCATCTACCGATTCACCTGCTTCACCTGTGGAGGTGGTGTAGGTATGTTGGTTGTACCCAGCGTTTGCTATCCAAAGGTATCATCGAATCTGGACACCAAGCTAACAAACCTACAAAGGAACTTTACAGTTATCTACAGAACACGTGGGAATCTGACTAAAAGAGGAGTACGAATCAAACTTCTTCAAACTCCACAGAAGCAATGGTAACAACAAAATTTCCTACACTAGTACATTTTACAAAATTATATATATACATTTGAAAGTGGGTAGAACTCACTTCGTTGAAAAATCGATCCAGCACAGCATCCTGTGGACTACCAGGACTTACACTGGCGACTGAATTACAGTTCTATGAAGAGTGGAAATAACAATTATATAGAAGAAACATTAGAACTTGTTGGAGAAAAACTGATAAGAAGCGGTTAAAACTCGCTGAAACATGCCCACACCATGATTCAACCGATAGTTACTGTGGCATGATGCAAATTGGGATAGGAAGCGGCCAAAACTGAAACCAACATTTAAATTCAACAGCTAACTGAACAGGTAGAAGTGTTTATTCCTCCTCAAATCTGGATTTAGTTTACGTTGATGCTGTGGACATTGAACAACGTGTTTAACCTTGGGTCAAGTGCCAACCAACCAATCAGAAAAATTTATTCTCCTCGGACCTAGCTGGAATTTAATGGGGCTAAGAATGTATAAATATGATGTTTTCCGCTTAATAAAGGTCCGTTCGTTACCAAGGCAATGAACTAACGAACTACACTGACTAAAACTAGTGTTTCTGAATGTCCCAGCATACCAGAAAAGTCGTTTGGATCAATGGGCTAGACTAAAAGAACTTACTACTATAATGGGTAAGTTATTTACACAATACTGGAGGTCTACGCGAGGAGTTTTACTACTGGGGAATAGGCATGTAACAGCAGTAAGCTGCTTCCACTCAAAAGCGTCCAGCATGCCAGTTTAAGACACTGATAGGAAACAAAGTCTTTTGGGAACACCTTGGGCACAAATCTCCGAATGTTTGGCATGAGATACGCGCCTGACAAATGTAAAGTAATACTGCAGAGTGGGACTATACTGACTCCTAGCTTAAACACGAGCGTGTTGTCTTCTTCTCTTTTTTAAGAGGTTGCATCAGCCCCAATGGATTGATTACTGACGAAAACTGGATACGGATACAAAAGGCGGTAGTGTGGCATTTACCAACCTACATCATCTCTAGCGAAGGTGTGGTATCCAGCTATCCCCAATTACACGACGTATGTACTGCAAAGCAGTTCGCTGCATCCTCCTTTATGCTTGTGAGAAAGTGGAAGATTTGAAAAGGCTAGCCATCTTTGACCACAGACGTTTGCATTTTATCTCTTGTGTTAAGAAGTTATAATATGGTGAGTAATGCTGAGGTTATGTGCAGAGTGTTAGGCAAGCAGGGTACGTTAATCATTGAGATATCTGGAACACGCGTTAAGCATGATAAATTATCTCTTTCTTCAATAGGTGATGTTGTGGTGACAGCTGGCTGCGAACAAGCCAAAATTGTAGACAGCAATTTACGTCAATGTTACGTCCCGAATCAGGGTCATGAGAGAAAAAACAATAACAAAGCTTAACCTTGAGAAAGTTACCAACCAATCACAGCAGACTTAACGTGTGCAAATATGATTCGCAGATATATGGCTTAACTTTCTAAGAAACGGTCACAAACAGTACAGAATAACCTTCAGCAAGAAAACAACCAATCAGAAGACGTTGCTCTTCTGCTAATAATAATGTACATAAAAATCTATAAATATCTGTTGATTTTCTCAATAAACGATCTGTTGCCTGGCTGGCCTTGTCTTCTGTCGTTACAATGTTAGCTAACAAGAGATTAGGTTGGAAAAGAATCAGAGTGGCCAAACAAAAACCTGTAATCAGTCCATAACAACCTTGACTGTTGGTTTGAGCTAGCCACGTAGGGAGGTGGAGACTTCCTGGTTGGGCTTCTCAGGATGCTAAGAATCAGTGGGTGGAGACTGTTGGAGACACGGATCAAAATCGTTGTCAATGGCGCTGACGTATTCATTCTTTGTAACCTCACATATCCATTAAAGCCACATGTTACTAGTGTTTCTCCCTCACAGTTTGGCTTACTATGGTTCTTTTGAGTCTCTTTTCTACTCTCTTTTCCCGATTTAGAGCAAGACAACACGCACCGAAGCATTGTCACCCAACCTTCGACAGCCAGACTGACGTCGCGAAGGCACCAGAGGTGGCTCAAGTTGACGTATACCACCCTAGCTTTCATGATACGGTTGAAAATCTCATCCGTCACGTCCACGCCCCTCCCCTAATACTCACACAACTACCCAGCCAGATACATGAAATTACCGACAACTTCAAGTGGTTCACCTACCAGAATGAGTGCAGGTACAGACGGCTCCTGCCAACCTTGTAACAGTACTTTGCACTCAGATGGCACAAAGCACACACCATACTAACAGTTCATCCAGTACCCCTCTTGTTGGTTCTCAATGACAAGAAGAAAAAAAACAGTCAATATTTCCATTTTTAATTTAAAAACTCAAAGTCATAGTTAAAACATGAGAGAAAAAAAGAAATCTTACCAGTAGAATTTCTGAAAAACCTTGTTCCGCAGCAAAATTCCATACTTTATTATTATTACAACCACTATTTGATGATAATCCAGTTGACGATAAACGACTATCACTCAAGTCTACATAAACACTCTGACTTTGTGGCTGATGTTGAAAGCCTGGAATTGGCACCGATGCTGTAGTCAGTTGATGATGTTGATGTTGATATGTTGAATTCCATGAGGCTATCGAAGCTGATGATGACGATGATTGTGGTGTATCTTCAAAAAACTGTACAGATGAGATACACGATCTAGGCGTCATCATAATACTTGGATAAGAGTAGTTATTATCAGGCGACACGCCTTCATTACGATGCTGATGATGCTGATAACTTGATGACAATATGCACGAAGGCGATGCGATTGTTTCATCAAAACGTGAAGTAACTCTACGCAATGATCGTAGAGTACGTGGACCAAGGAGATCGAGTTTTGTACCGATTACTAAGACCGGTGGATAGATTTGATCTCTTGTATCATTGATATTATTATTATTTGTTAGCGATTCAATTGGTGAAAAGAAACGATTGACTATATTGTTCTCTGTGCTACGAATAGGCAGTAAACTCGCCATTTGACTAGTGGTCATGTTGACTTTTACACCATTACTGCTGCTGCTGCTGCCTAAGAAAGCGGTACCACCACCAATCCCTCCAGCTGTTGTTGCGGTTGATGTTGTTGTTGTTGTTCCTCCTCCACTGCTGACTCCTCCCATATCTGCTGATTCTGATCTATTAAGGAAGAGAGAGATAGAGAGAGGGGAAAGACAACACTATACAATGCGAAACTAACAAATTCACTCGGATATCGAATCATACTCTAAATCTTTACATATTCTCATTATTATTCATATTATAACAAGACACATATAAGCGAACAGTATTCTTGTTTTCAATTAGATCTTCTTCAGGCTTTAATCTACATAGGTTATATATATATATATATATATATATATATATATATATATATAACAGAATTTAACCAATGACGGTGATTTTCTGGATCAAATTGCAAGTGTTAAATGTTTTGGACGTCAGTTATAACAATGATTAAAATTATGAGAAAAATAATGATAATGAGGCTTATGCAGGTAACGATAAGAACAACGAAGGTAGCAATATATGTATGTATATGTAGATGTAACAACAGAAGACAAGGGCCAGGCAACAGATCCTTTATTACGAAAAATCAACACGTATTTATAGATTTTTATGTACATTATTGTAGGTCAATGTTAGTAGAAAATACAGTCTGTTGATTGGTTGTTTCTCACACAAAGTTAACCTTGCATCTCTTGTGGCTGTGTCAGTTCATCTATATGTTAACTGTAACCACCTGTCCACCTTGCCCTTTGACCTCAATTACTGTCAACCAATTTGGCCAGCAACCATCTCTCACCACAACATGACTAATATTTGATACATAAACATTGACCTCAATTACTGTCCACCACTTGGCTAGTAGACAGCTCTCACCACACTCGTCCCCCCGTCAAATAGTTTGAACTGAAGTCGGCTCGGTCTTCTCGGTTCTTGGGGCTTTGCTCTGTTGTCTTGCTGTCTGGAATCTCGGCGCTTGCGGATGTCCACCTGTTTAACGGTGTTTACCATTGCGATTGTGTCTGCGTAACCCCATCTCAACGTGACCATATATGGTCCTTCCCACTTTGGAAACTGTTTGCCTGACCCTGTCGCACATTCGTAGGTATTTCGCCTCACACTTCCATATGCTGCTTTCTCCCGACCTCCCAGCAGCGTCCCAAGTAGCAGCCTCATCGCTGACAGATCTTGAACGCCACTCAACTGCGAAGAAGACTCGAAGTCCTGCGCGAAGATCCATATGTCTCCATCAAAAACTGCAGGGCATAGGCTTTCCATTTGTCGGTAGGCAGCAACACCAAATGTAACAACAGAAGACAAGGGCCAGGCAACAGATCCTTTATTACGAAAAATCAACACGTATTTATAGATTTTTATGTACATTATTGTAGGTCAATGTTAGTAGAAAATACAGTCTGTTGATTGGTTGTTTCTCACACAAAGTTAACCTTGCATCTCTTGTGGCTGTGTCAGTTCATCTATATGTTAACTGTAACCACCTGTCCACCTTGCCCTTTGACCTCAATTACTGTCAACCAATTTGGCCAGCAACCATCTCTCACCACAACATGACTAATATTTGATACATAAACATTGACCTCAATTACTGTCCACCACTTGGCTAGTAGATAGCTCTCACCACATAGACAATTCAATAAATAAACAAATAAGGTCAAATCTTAAAAGTTACGTAATACTAAAGGTGAAGTGGACAGATAATCAGAGTTTAAATAAATATCATAAAAATACGAAGGAAATCGAAAACAGGAAATGGTGGGAGGGTTTTGATTAGAATTCACCTAGGCCAAGGGAGAGACAAAGGTAGAACAAACTTCTTTTGTTGCATGCAAAGACTAGGATTGTTCTCTCGAATTAATTCCCATAGCTTCGACTATGTGTAAAAGGCGGTTTCGAATTCGGTTCGACACAATGCGATAGATAACTTTGAAGGCACTATTTCTGTCCACTTGGTGACCGCTATCAATCAAATGAGCCAAAATAGAACTTCTTATAGATTTTATTTGACCTTTCCGAAGCATGAGGGAAGGAAGATGCTCAGTAATGCGTTTGTTGAGCTATCTAGTTTTTCGCCCTATATGGCTCTCTCCACAGGAGCAACTAAATTTGTAGATACACATAGAAGTGGCACAGTTAGTCAGCTTGTCTTTCACTTGAGCAATCATAATTGGTCGGCAACTGGAAAATGACAAACAAGGGATGGTGGTGGCAGTATAAGCCGTTTTTGATTGCTCTCGATAATCTTAGATGTAGGACTTGATTAACCACGTCCCAACTTTTTTCACTGATGTTAGTTTCTCTTTATTGCACCCGGTGTTCATGTGCCTGTCTCCTAGGCTAACTCATGTGAACCAGTGTATTTTGGATGTATCCTAATTCATTTTCTAGGGAGTTATCTGTACAGATCCGTCTTACTCTATGCGTAAGGCATTTGACTAAATTGACTTTGTATCAGATTGGCAAAAAACTGAGGAAATGGGTATATTGTTCCATAGACTCAGGTTTTCTATAGACACATCTCTTGAGTGGACCATCCTCTCTTCTGCTTAACTGAACATCACAGAAGTGTAATTTACCATCATGTTCTTCTTCACAAGTGAAGATGAGCGATGCGTGTGCATCACTTAATCTTATTACCACTTCATTCTTGATATAAGAATAAAACTTGTGCACTATGGTAGACTGTAATTCCATTATGGGTAAATTTTGTTTTGATAAAGTCTCACAGTGTTATACAGTAATGTTTACTGATGACGTTTCGAGCACAATTTATTGCTCATAATCATATCAAGTTAATCACACGACTTCCTAAATTCATTTATATAGTTCCATTGTTTTTCACTTGATTTGATTGGTAGTAATATTTTCCATATTTCGGGTATGAGTGATGATTCATTCCTATTGCATGTGTTGGGTGTAGATTCGATGAACAAGGATTCAGTAATCAACCTCTCTCTCCACCTACCTAGATTACTTTTTAGAATGTTAACCCTCTCCCACCCATTCTGTTGTCTGGTTGTGTGCTAATGCGTGAAGTGCAATTGCTGAGCTTTTTTATAAATTACTTATCTTCTTGGGGTCATCCTTTCCGACCTTCATCATTTAGGTCTTTTTTGGTGCTACTTAGTGCCATTGCTCGGTTTGTTAAACACTTAACTAAGCTTGCCTTAACAGTTAAAGGATGAGATGAATTAAAGTCTAAATATCTGTTAGAATGCGTTGGTTTTCTATAAACACTAGTGCGTAGTTTGCCTTCTTCTATTCGTTTTATTTTACAATCTAACATTACAGCTAATTCTCCTTGTTCATTCTTGTCAGCTTTCTCATCAAGAATAATAAACGCATCATCAACATAACAAAAATAAGAATCCATTTTATCTATTCCTCATTTCAATGGACCATTTTCAAACTTAACAAGAAAAATAAATCTGTCAAAATTATTTTTATCGCCACCTGCATAAACCTTATTATCATTATTTTTGTTATTATTATTACTATTATCATCGTTATTAATGGCGTTCAAAACATTTACCACATTATTATTATCATTATTAATTGATGCACAAACTCACCGTCATTGGTTAAATTCCGTTTTATATATAAATCTATGTAGATTAGAGTAAAACCTGAAGATCTAATTGAAAACAACAATATTGTTCGCCTATTATATGTGTGTCTTGTTGTAATACTCTAAATGACTCATCAATGCATAATGAATATTCTTCTCAACAACTTTCTCTTCATCAGATCCTACACTTATGTGACAGTAATAATCAAAGAAATATTAGTTACAGGATTTCATCATGAGCTCACATTAGTTAGAGAACCATTGGAAAACCGACAGGGAGTACTAGACAGTTTTGTCAGTCTAGTTTGGAACTCTGCTTCAACAGTAAGCACCCACTCCACTGGGATTCGAACCAAAGACCTTCTGATTAAAAGGCTAGCGAGCCAGTAGATCATTAAGCTACTGGGACCTTATCCAATGGCCCATGCGTACTGCTGAAGAGTCCAAAACTAGGCTGACGAAACAGCTGACTGGCAGTACTCCCAGCTGGTTTTTCAATGGTTCTCTAACCGATGTCAGTTCATGAGGAAATCAGACAAATTAAGGGAAGTAACACACGCACACACAGAGAAAATTTATAAATCTACAGGTTCCACAACAAGCCCAGGGTAATAATATTGGCTGGACATGCTTCATTTGCATACAGGACTCCAATAGACTTAAGCAAGCGAATTGCAATGGCCTCTGATGTTTGCATTATCCGGTATCTAGAAGCCTTTGGTAACTTCTTTGCTGTGTCTTACTGACTGACTGACTGGTTTCAACATAGAACTTTGCACCGATGTGCAACAGTTCAAGTCGCCACACTCCCTCCATGTAGCACACAAAGCAAGAGAAGAAAGCAAAAGGAAATGCAAAACAGATTCGGTAAACAGGGATATAGGGCAAAAGAATAGTAATATCGAAGAACATTATAGTTTCATTGGAAATTATAAGTCACAAAGAGTGAATGCATCTGCACCAGCCATTGAGAACGAAGATTTTGAGCCATATCACCAATTGTCTCCAGCCATCATTGGTGTTTACCATCCCGAGGACCCCAACCAGACAGCAGTCTACACCTTTCTAAGTGGCTGGCTTAAACTAACTGTTGTGCATTTCATTGACTGATGAAGGCAATTTTCGGTTTGACCAACACTGGCTCTTTTCCAATCTTACCCTATGTCAGCTAACATTGCCCATCGAGGAAGGCGCTAGCTGGCCGGCTTTGTGGACTGTTGGACAAGGTGATCTAATATAGAACTGTTAACTGTTTTAACAAAACCTGTGGTGTGTACTACTGACAAAACTCATCAGTAGAATATAACGAGACGTTCATAGTCACCAAAAAATATCAAATAGAGGAGAGAGAGAGAGTATTTGAGGTCAAAGAGAGCAAATGAACAGTCAGTATTGGAGTGAAACACGGGAGCTACAAAAAGAAAGCGAAGTAACATAATAAGAAGGGCAGAAGTAGTGTAACAGTAGAAGACAATAGACTTGGCAACGGAATGTTTATTTGGGATTTGGTATCTCTGTTTGGGGAAATTATGTATACCTTATATAATCTTCCATTGGAAGATATGCAAGTGAAAAGCAACAAGTTGGCAGAAGAAGCATCAATGATAGGACTGAAGATGAACATAGACAAAACAGATATGGTGATGAAGATTCCTGGTCAACAGTAACAGAATAAATGGGAGAAATCTGAAAGAGGTAACCTCCTTTACTTACCTATCGACCAGGGAAGCATCGTTTCAACTACAGGCGCACGGAACTGACGAGGATATCAAAGCAGGGATCGGGAAAGCAAGGCAAGCTTTCAATTCTCTCAAGTCTGTGTGGAGATCAACAGCACTCAGCATGAAAAATAAGGTCCGGGTTTTCAACTGGACACAGCTGTTTCACCCCGGGTTGGGACTCCTCAACAGTGCGCAGTCACCGCCAGGGTTCGGAAAGCAAGATCTTTCTGTTACAAGGCGACCTCATAAACCACTCCAGTCACTGGGACCCAATCCAATGACCAGTCTATGATTTCCAACTTCTACCAATTCCGGATAAGGGGCGAACACTGGTCAATGTCATCGGCGAGTAACTGTTCTTTTACCGTACTTCATGGACCCTGCCAGTTACGGCTTCTCACTAGAATAAAATCAACCAAATCCTTGGTAAAGCAATACTTAAATAAAAATGTATATGCAGTGAAGCTACAATTTATGAAAACAAAACACGCGTGGTTCAGCGAAGAGTCTCTTTTCGCCGGCGAATTCATTTCTTAGCTGTACAATCGCAATTATATATATATGTTAGTTTGTATGCATGTGTACATTAAGTTTGTCAAACAAAAATACAATTGGTAATGGTTATTTTAAGTAAACAGGTGAAGATTGGTAATTGGAGTTACGTAACACAAAATCGGTCAAGAAAATTGGGTGTTAATGAAATTACGGTAGTAACAGAGGTGATAAGTTGTCACAAAGTGTTTAAAAGAAGTTATGTAATAATATGAATAGTTTGATGATTGAGTTGTATTCAGGATACACATAGGAACAAAGTTTTTTTCCTTCAGGTTCCCCAGTGGAACATAGGGCCTCAAGCTAGTGACTTGAAGTTTCTGTAGCAGTGTTTATATTACAGGATGGGGTTGCTAGCCTCATGCCCAACCTTTCCTCTTCACCGGCATTATTTATGGCTTAGCGAGGTAAAGGGGTGCGTCGGCCGAGGATCGAACCCAGAACCATGTGCATGGTCGGCGAGCGTCCTAACCGCTATGCCACCGACGCACTAGGAACAAAGTAGAGAATACGAAATTCCATAAGAGTTCTAAATGAATACAAGAATTATCAGCAATTAAAGAAACAGGCAAACAAACAAAATTAAGTCATTAAAAATCAACAAAGTTGTTACCATGACCGATTTTGTATTACATAACTCCAATTACCAATCTTTACCTGTTTAGTTAAAATAACCATAACCAATTGTATTTTTGTTTGACAAACTTAATGTACACATACATACAAAATAACCCATATATATATAATTGCGATTGCACAGCTAAGAAAATGAATTCACCGGCAAGAAGAGACTCTTCGCTGAACCACGCGTGTTCTTGTTTTCATTAATGCCTGGATGGGGATTATCCATGAACTAAAGCTACAATTTAAAACACAAAAGACTTACTTTTTCATAATTTGTTTTCCCAATACATCACATAGCCATTTTCTTAAATTTGCTTGTGATTTACTATTTGTACAATCATAGACTAATATTAATCCGTGTAAATTTTGATAAAATATTGATCGAGTATTAGCATGTCCATTCGACCCGCCAATATCCCATAATTCAATAAAATATGGACGTTCTTTTGTTGGATCCGATTTACACAGATGAACCTAAATAAAATGATTAAGGATATTTTAAGAGGAAAAGAAAAGATGAATAAAATGTGAAACTACAACTTTAATATCCACACTACAACCAATTGTATAAGATGGATGTAGAAGAGGTTGTTGATTGCAGATTAAATGAACTAGGGCTGTTTTACCAACTCCTTTTGAAGAAGAAAAACAATGTTTATGAGATTGTACTATTTATTTAACACAAACTTACCAGAATCACCGCCTACAACAACTTTTGCCTTCTCAAATTCCATGGACAACAGCACAACAACAAAAAGAACTAAAAGGGTAAATGTAAGTGAACATTATTGCAAAAAAATAAGAGAAATTTACCAAAATTATTTTACTGTTATCCTCTTTCTTTACACATTATGGATTATATAAGAAAACGTTGCCATCTGAAATTGAATGAACAAACAAAAAAAAAAAGAAAGACGATGTAAAGTAACATTTTTTAAAAATCACATTCCATAGAAGTTAATTATTTACAAATCATAATGATTTTATTTGTACATTCAATGAATAATAGGGAAGTTGATAGAGTAAAATAGTCAGCACTGGATTGATCGTTGTTTTATAATTTATGCAAAGGCTGGGATACTACACATGAACACCTCATACTAAAGTAGATGGTTGTCTTGAGGGACCAACTCCCCCCCTTCCTGAGCCTCTGACTTGAAGTCTGATCTCCAAGACAGTGCAGCAGGATAAGCAACTGAGTTCCCATGATGTCCCGTGATTAAAACAGGTCCATATACCATTTGATCCCTTTAGATCCTGAGGCTGATAAGCAAGACAGTTTTGGGGACGAGGGCTTTCCAGCTCCTCCTCCTATGTGGATCTGCATGTTTACCGATCCGGTTATAAGTGCCAGATTTTCACACAGATGAGATGAGGATGTGAAAGCCATCCCAGATAGGAATAGCGAGATAGATTTTCATTAATCTGAATTCAATGTGAAAATCCACTGTGTTTAGCATAAGGAACCAAATGCAAATATGCAACACTATTGTCGAGTCCGTCAGTGCATCTATATGGTTCAGACACTGCATTTTCAATAGGCGACCGAAGACTTTTATACCACCAGCCATCTTAGTTGGCAAGAAACGAAAAGCAGGTTACAAAGAACTCTGACAATGAACTAACATAGAAGCGATCACCCAACAGGTATGCAGAAGGGAGTGAAAATGGACTGGACATATACAGAGGACACCATTGAGTGATATCACGCGTCGAGCCGCCAAGTGCAACCCTAATGGGAAACCAGTTGGACACAGGTCTGAGTGTGGAAGAGTGAGGAGTACTGACTGCTGACACCAGCATTTTTGTCCAACAGCTAAAAAGCCTTGTACTTCCTCAAATTAAAATTAAAACGACTTTATTAACTAGTGCCACAATTTAAATTGCCTAGTGATAAATTACAATATTATACTACATAGGACAAGGGAGTTTAAATCGTTCCGAGAGACTACCAGATATCACTGTATTGTGGATGATGCTTTTCCCAAATAAGGTAAAACAGCCAAAGTGACTAAATGATTTGCCCTTTACTGTTATGGACAACATATAAGCATAGAAACATTGAATATTGACACTAGGAGGAATGAATTAAGACTGTATAAGAGATTATAACTCCAAAATAAATATAAGGCTTAGTATGAAAACAAGATAACTCATAAAAACAATTTTGCTCGAGTTCTTTCCCAAAAGTTTAGCTTTTCACAGAAACGTGATGTTATTTTCCATAGAACGATCACATGTGTAGTCATATGACTCAAACGCTATGCAGTTAAAATACCACATATGTACAAGCGGTATGCTGCTTTAAAGCAAAACAATTGTTTTGAAATACAATGAGCAAAGCTTCCACACAATGAACTATAGCAGAACTTTACACGATTAATTAAGGTCAAATTATGAAATACATATGTACATGTTAAACAAGTTATATGCCAAAATCGGAAGTATTACTAACCATAATTATAAAAACCAGCCCAACACAACCTCCTTCAAACTCCTTCAAGGTCACAACGTCGATAGATTCGCTTATCCAAACAACATTTTGCTGCTATGCAACCATTCCATCAGATGAGAATTGTGGAAGTGTTTTTGTGCTTTTCACAGATGTCTCTTCATAGATTCAACCGATAATTCTTCACGAGCAGCAAACTTGAAAGTCTCACATCTCACACTACTGTAGCGTAGAATGAAAGATCACACAATGGTGTTTCGAATTGAAAACAATGACTAAGGACCCGATAAGCTTTGTCTCTGCCCTCCCAACAGCTTACCAAACCTCAGATGACTTCTCAGGAAAGCTCGAAAGCCAAGCTGGAACTAAATCGCTTTGCAGAACTGTTTTCCACGAGTCATAAACTGCGAGACTCCCAGGAGAGTCAGTGCCATCGACCTTAATTGGCTGGTTTGAGAGGGGTTTAGAAAGGCACAAAACTCACTAGAAAAATATCATCATAGGCTTCAAGCCTTCCATCCTTAATCAATAAATCTGAATCTAAAGCGAATAGACTGCATCCTGTGTTCATTCTCGGTAACAGTTCATACGGAAGCTGTCACTAGTGGAAATGTCACAACATTTTACCCTTAAAAGCAGATGAACGTATCACAGTGATCGGCCAAAGCAGGAACTGTTACCGAAATCAATCTGTATGGGGCTTAGGTCAACTTTCGAAGATACTCAGCATAATCAGATTTTGAGTTTGAGTGTGGCATCCCCGAATTTCATGTTAGTAATCCTCTACCAGATGTCAATCCCCGTCTACTCTATTTACGAAAAGAGTCGATTGAAAGTGCTGACAGCACTTCTCCCCGGAGATGGTTTCCAGAAAATTTGTGATCAGTAGTCTGCGGCAAAACAGTTCATCCTTAAGTTTTAGACTCTGTTGCTGTGTAGTCTGGGATGTCCCTGCCCACTGGTGTGATATGAAGTGATTCAGAGTGTCAAGCCGTACCTGCTATGCTAAGGCCGTCATATCACGGACCCAAATGACCAAAGGTATATCTTATGGTCAGCATATCAGTGGTAATTCTAGTAAAGATTCAATGTATTCCAGTGAAGGTTCTAAAGAAGCAGGAGGCAGCCGTTCTTTAGCGTTGAGTGGTTTTCAACCAGAACTTCCGCCGTCTAAAGTGAACAGCGGAGTATTCTAGGAAGCCAGTTGGTTACATTGCTACAAAGACCGAACTCTCTTACTGAATGGCCTCAGCTGGAAATAATGTTCATAGCTGCTATATGGTTAGCCGCTCCGGAAGACCTGATCTGGGATTATATAACTAGCTGAGTGCTTGGCCTGACTCACCATAACTAGATGGTCAGCTGCTGATAAGGTCTTACTAACTGATTAGAAAGATAAGATACTTATGGTTATGTAAGGATGCATTTATATTTGAAATCATCGAGAGAGTATGGAGGCACACCACCACGACTTTGTCCTTTCGAATACCGGTTGTGTGCGATGTGTCCCCCTTGATCCCCATTAACACACAGGCATAAGTTTATGATATAGCTGAAGTTCAGTCGAATTCAAGACACCAAACTATCTTCCCTATGAGTGTCAGATGCGCACGATTGCGTATATAAGCAAAAAGACAAAGTATAGTTTTGAGATTTATTTGAAATCCTACATTTTGCCGACTCTGATTAGTCTACGAAATTTTAGGGGAAACTTGGGAAATATCAGCCCGGGTAGACTTTGACGTACATAGTCGATTTCACAGCACTAAGCATACTACCTATCGTCACAATGATTTGTACTGTCATCCAGGATGACAGTTTAGAGTTGACCCTTACTGTCGATAGTCATAATAGTAGAATGTTTATTCCTATCTATGTCATGGAGAAGTATTATTTGAATTACATAAATCTGGTTTATGATGGAATTACATGGTAGCTGTCTTCCTTGAATTTAGTTTGTGGGAACAATCTGCAAACTAGTAATTCAATGGTGCACATAAGAAATATTGTCTCCGCATTTACAAAAGACCCAAGTATGTGCTGGATGGATTAAAAATACTTGAGAAAAGACAAACTATTGTGAAATCAATATGAAAAGCCTCCCTCTAGTTCCACAACTGTTTGTCCTCATGAGCACGGAACTTCAAATGCTTTGTGAAAATACTCGAAGACATTGTCAGTCGCTTGTCTATGGTCAGCATGACTCTCTCTTTCCTTGATGAGATCCGCTGGATGAAACAGACTTCTTTGGAAATCATGAACTGCGTGGGATGATAAATTATAGTTTTCTTTGAAAGATGTCACAGCTACCTTGATTATTCTTCCCAGTGTCTCAGTTGAGGTAAAAGTGACACCATTTTGGCTGTTGTCTCCCTGATAATGCACAAGTTCTCTGCTAAAATGAGAGATGACTGTCACAAACTTCTAGCCAACAGCTGAAACTTCCTTTATAGTGTAAAACCCCAAAAGAACAGTTATCTGGCATGTGATCATGGCTCACGGACTCTTGAGAAAAGTTAGATAGAGTTCATTGGCTCAGGATAATCCCCCAGGATCCAGTTTGATACTGTTTTCAAGCACTCGATTAAGCCAGCCATGCCTGTGTCAATAATAAAATATAAGTCTACAAATCAAGTTCGCAATCCGCAAATCTGTTCACAATTTCCTGAATTAATTAGCACTTTACAAAGTTCGAGGCGATTATTTTACCACAGCTTTTTAGAAACCAAAACTGTTCGGGTCACAATTTGCGATACTACAGACAGTTATCAGGAAACCGAGCATAAAGGAATGAAACTACGTACTTCTGATTGGCGAACATGAGTAGGTAAATGCCACTCACGTGAGCCAGCAATGCTTGCTGGCTAAAAAATAGTGATCTAAACACTGGATGGTCATCTTGCTCGATTGTGTTTCCAAGGAAAACTGTGATAAATTGGTCGCCCTGCATTAAATGCAGAGCTAATAATTTGCAAACCTACAAACTAATTTGCGAATTACCACTTCAACTTTTCGCATTGCCAGTTCTCTGAAGTAGGTAGCCATGAGCTGTAGGATCTGATTTGAGTCGACTCACTGAGATTAGCCATAGTGAATATGCTGCTGATCAGCTAAACCCCAAACGAGAGGAACGGCCATCTATGGTGTTTACTTCACTTCGATGTGGCTGGCTGGCGATCACTACTGGCTGGTGTTAGTGGTATATAGCTACTCTCCTAAATCAATCATGCGTTCAAAGAGTTTATAATGCGTACTCTGTGTCAAGATTTGTTTGTCAAAGAAATTTCCTCCACTGTTTCACTGCACTTCTCACTAGCTACATTGCTTATTTCATTCTATATTAACAAATTTTCGTGACAGATTGATTTCCAGCTGGCCTTTCGGAATGAGAAATGCGTCCCAGCACTGGTGCTGTCATGATTAATCCATGGTGGATAAGGTTTTCATCTCTTCATCAAGCTGACAGTTTCTTTAAGCCTTCATATGCAGCCTTTGGATGGGTCTCTGTACTTATGGTTCAGTCCTGTAGTAAGGTTGAATAGATAATGGTCTCTGTGTTTGTTTGAGAATGCTGGGAAGTATGCTGTATAAGTTTCTTAACTAGCTAAGTATCACTCATTTATGTGGATTTCCTACCAGCTTGTGTTAGGAGGTATTTTCTGGTAATGCCACCCCTAGGATTTCCAATCGACTGGTGTGGTATCGGAGTTATAATAATAATATATCCTCACTTTATGTATCGAATATTAAACAACAAACTTCTAACAGCATTTCTAAAATAACGGGTGGACAATAGGGTAAGTCATTTCAATGAGTCGAAAGGCGCAAATATTTATTTCATCTAGCCAACCATATGGGCAGCCTGTAGACGGCCGTAGGTCATTTGATCAGCTGATGTCTGGTGGCTTTATTTAATGAAAAAACTTGGAAATTAGGTGATTTTTCGTTGTTTTACACACTTTTACACTTATATTGCCGCTAAAAGTTGATGTAATAAGGCGTTTTTAGCATAAACAGGAAATGATGGTGTCCTTAATGGCCGTAAATTACGGCCAATTTACAAATTGTTGAATTACGTACTTTTCCGTTCAGAAAACGTCGAATTACTTGAATAGACATATCCTAACGACTTTTGGTGAATTTTTTTGCAGTTTAAAGGATTATACATGGACATGATGAGGTGGGATAGTTGGTTTTGCTGATTATTTGATATACTTAATTGTGTACTTTTGCTAATGCTGTCAAAGCTGCTCTACACGTATTTCATTAAAGTAAATCTACAGAAATACTTAGAAACTATATACGCATAGCATTTACTTATTTTATGGCATATACTTGATGTTTACAGGTAGATGCAATATCCATTTTTTCTTCTTGAAAAATATTGACTGATGTAATTGTATACAATTAAACTGATTATTTCAGCATTTTAAACATGTTAAGTAGTTATTTACTGCATTTACAGTGGTAACAGTGTCTACATCTTTAGAATTCTTTTGTTCTTTTTCAGATAATATCTACTTCCGGGAATTTCATGGATTTGGGCGATAAAGAAAAAGATATCTGCCGTGTTGTTGATTATGTATTACATGTTTATTCATTAATAAATGTATTCCTCGTTATTCGTTTGTATATTCTACTTGATAAAGCTGATTTCTAGCCTTTGCGTAATTTGTGAGGTACGGAGTATATGACGTGGTCTTAAAAATGCTAAGTAAAATTAGATATTTGGAGAGGCTTGTTGATAAAAAGACTATGTCGTGCCGTAATAAAGTTACTGCGTCCACTTGTAGAAGAAAACATTGAGGTTATAAGCGCTTAGTTATATATCGTCTTAGTAAGAACCTATTAATTGACTTCGGACTCATGGTCAAACAAGGTTAAAAGTAAATCTACCTGAGATAGTGAGCTTGCGATTTCTACTTATCGTAATAAACCGAGATGGGAATAATGTACCTATACTGTTAGATTTATAACTCAGTGCAACTACGGTGATCGTAATAATTAAAAACGGAATGCCTACTATTGAAATACAATTATACTTCATTAGAATACCTACGGTTCGCAGCTACAGA